CAGCGTCACGCCGCCGCCGTACCTGCGCGTTTCTCATCTGCTGGGCTTCTCCAGGCTCTGCTGCTGCTGCTGGGACACCTGGACCTTGGACATCTGCAGGGGTTTCCACAGGGGACGGCTCCTCTCCTTGCCTCGCGGTGGATGGAGCTGCTGCGTTCCCCGCTTCCCACACCACCCACGCCTGGGAAGTGGTGCGGACGAGGGCGGCGCCAACGCTCACGGCCTTTGGGTGCCCACCAAGGGTGTCCTGGGGCTCTGGCGCTGCTCTGTGTCCCTCCAAGCCACCCATCTCCTCTCCAGGTCCATCCCGTGAGGGTCCTTCAGGAGCTGGAGCATCCTGCACCCCATCTCCAGGCTCTCCATCATTCCCATCCCATGAGGGTCCTTTAGGGACTGGAGCATCCTGCACCCCATCTCCAAACTCTCCATCATTCCCATCCCATCCTTTCCAGCCATCCCCACCGGCAGCTCCTGGCTGGTTCTCTCGGGGGCTGTTTTCCCCTTTGTCTCCCGTTTTTCCTTCCTCCTCCACGGGGGACGAATCCTCTGCTGCCTTTTGGGCCTCCTCACTTGCAGGCTCCTCTCCTGCTCCAGAGGCTGCCCCTGGTTCCTCTCCCACCAGCCCCAATTCCCCCAGGTTTGATGCATCTCCCGCTGGGTCACGGTCCCCGATCAAACACCATTTTACCCCATTCCCTTCCAATTTCTCCTCTCCTGGCACCACAGCTTCCTCAGGGGAAGTTTCCACACAGGTTTCAGTGCTGTCCATGGCATCCTCCTCGTTCCTTCCCACCTCAACCAGGTCCATGGCCGAGTTTCTCTCCCCGTTGTTCCCCTCTCCCAGCCCATCCAGAGGCTCCTGCCACCCCCTGCAAACATCAGACCCCACCGCCACCCCCTCCATCCCTTGGGACATCGGCGACTCCTCACCCCATGGTCCCCTTCCCTCCACCACCTCAGCGTCCCCAGCACCCCCAGGTCCCATGGGTGCCTTCCCTGCTCCATCCCCACCCTTCCCAAGGCCACCTCCAGCCCAGGCAGAGCCAACCTGGCCCCTCAGCTCCACCAGTGACCGCGTCACCCGGTGCCGATGCTCTGCCAGCAGCTTGGAGCTCTGTGTGTTGGTCCCCATGGTCCACAGGTCCAGGGCTGCCACCAGTCCGTGCCAGTGGCCATCCACGGGCACAGCCATGGCCAGAGGGTTATGAGAGCAATCTCTGCTTGACTCCTTTTTGGCATCACTTTTGGGGGTCAAAACGGGGCTTGGTTGGGTTGCAAGCTGTCCCTCTGGGGGTGTTTTGGTCACTGGGGATGCTTTGGGATGTTGGCTTTGCTCCTGGGGCTCTGCCTTGGGGCCAACCTGCTCTGCCATCAGCTCAGCAAGGTCTCCTGCCCACTGTGGTCCTGAGGGGTCCACATTGTGGGAGGTCCCCAGGGGGGTGATCTCCTCCTCTTGACACCCCTGAGCTTCTCCCCCTGCCTCTGCTGGGTCCGATGTCCCTTGAGCAGTGTCCAGCGCCGAAACTTCCACCCGGTGCTGCTCCTTAGCTGCTTCCTGGGACTTCACCCCTCCAAAAAACGACCTGCGCCGCATCAGCTTCAGCAGCTCCATCGGCCTCTTCGCGGGGAGCCTCATGGAGCCTGCGGGCTCGGATCTCCTCCTCATTGACTTCAGGACATCAG